GTTTGTCATCCCCACCGTCCCGGTCCTCCAGCTCGGGGCACCCTGGGTCCCGAAGCCCATCATCGGCATTGAAGACAGAGGCAAAGAAGGCGTTAAGCGTCTCTGCTTTGCCTATGTCATCGTCTGTGAGAAGACCTTCCCTGTCAAGGAGCGGCCCTATGTATTCTTTAGTTCTTCTTTTTCCATTCACATATCTAAAAAAACCCTTTTTATTTTCTCTCACAGACACAGCCAGCTTCAACTCTAGGTGTGCTTTAGCCACACGAATTTTCTTCCTACAGACACGAGCAGCATCCCTGTATTCTTTCCATGTCACCTGGCCCTCCTTCCAGTAGCGAAACACTCTCTGTTTCCGCCTAATCTCCATAAGAATGTTCCTGGTCAGCCACGACGGCCTCCTGCCCCGCCTGCCTGACTTGCGATATTTAGGAATTGCCTGAATATCACATCAGGGTACAGCTTTAGCTTCTATTCCTGCTCTGGGGATGCAGCTGGGGCATATGGAGGAGGGATGGACAATGCTGTGCTGTAGTAGAACCTCTTGCAGCTGGACACAAGCTCAGTCTCAGCCTGCATCGATGGTGCAGAGCATCTCTTTGGTGCTGCTGCTGTCTGCTCTGATGCTGAACTCAGCACGGTGGGAGCAGACCCTAGCACATAAAATGGTCTTTCTGAGGCTGTGAGTGCAGAGTGAATTGGAGGATATCATAATTCATGTAACCCAATAATTAAGACACTAGGTGGAGTTTTGGGAATTCATGGACTTCTCTCTATCTTGCTGCAAATGCCTGTCATTGTTTCTTCATGCATAACAGGGTGAAAGCACCTCACAAAGGCAACAGGAGAGAAACCACCCTAAAGCAGCAGCATCAGATATGTTTGATTTGATAGCGATAAGGACTGTGGACAGATTGTGTTCTGATGACACTACAAAAGGTAGAGGAATATTTTATCTTTCAAAGATCTCTGCCTGAGATTCTGGAAAGCATATGGCCAGTAAGGCAATGAGAGAAGGAGCAGTTGTTATCTCAGTGAAAACTGTTATTCAGCAAAAACGGAATTTGAAGCTGTATTTTATAATTAATTTAATTTGGTGTCATATTCTGGTTTTGAGTTGAACTTTAGATCCCTGAAAACTCAAAAGTACAGGAGAGTTTTCCGGGGCTTGTGGTTAGTTGTTGCTGTTATTCCAGAGATGCTCTTGGATGTTTCAGTTAGAGATCTGAATAGTTCTGGCATTTGTACTCACCAGACTTTGTTACTGCATTTGTCTCACAGCTTTTAAACAGCAGAAAACATGTACAACGTATTTAAACAACACCAGAGAAATTAAGGTCATGAGAATGCATCGTCAACAAATGAAGATAAAAAAGAACTGTTGTTTAAAAAAAAATTGTTGTTGCAAGATGCTTTTGAAATTCTACATACCAAATTCAGAGTCATGTTGATGATTTATTCTAATGTAGGAAAACATCATCAAGAGTGACAAGCAAGCTAGTCACTGTCTAGTCACCTGCCAGCAAATATTTCATAAAGACTAAAAAGGCTGGTACTGCCTTGCTGAGCTGACACTAATTATTTCAGTATACGCAGAGCTTTGGGATTCATGTTAATTCTCAAGTCTGTCTTTAGTTCAGACTCATTCCACTGTGTAAACTCAGCAGAGCACAAATTATTTGACCATCCTTTCATAATCTGTCCCCACGCTCACTTGCCAATTATATAAACTGATCCAAATACCTGCTCTCAAAGGAATCCCATTTGGGAATCACAAACCAATTAAAAAAAAAAAAGGGGGGGGGGGTGTATATCTACTTTTCTGTAGCTCTTGTCTGGTAGTCCTATTTCATGTTGACATTCATTTCTGAGTATCTTCTTGAGATAACATTGTTTTCATCTGTGTTCAGAAAAGATATCTTTCTGGTGATAAAGCCCCTTTTAGATGAAAACTCTATCGGAAGTCACATATTGCATCCCATAGGAAGAATGAGTTCAACAGTACCTATCAATTTCCTGAATATCCCAAAAAAGTCTCCTGCTGTTGTAGCGTGGTGCTCTTTCTTTGTTCATTACACACTTAAGTGAATATTTTTAGAACAACATCTAAATATTGAGCAGTACTGTAGTGATCTTGCAGCAGCTTAGTGACGATGCTTGTTGAAGGTGTATAAAACAGCATTCAAGCAAACACAAAACACCAGTCACCTCGGTGGCATGAATTAGCATGAGACAGGATTTGAGAAATGTGGCTATGCGCGTGACTGAAAAAGACTGCATTTTGTCTCTTCTGTGAAAACTCTGCTCTGTTCGAACTGGCTCATTTTTAAGGTTTGCAGTAAAAATAGATGCATTTTTGCACAAATGCTTCCAATAGTTGCAGCCAGTAGATGTTCGCACTCCACAGGTAACACCAATCAGGGCCACAATCAAGCTGTGAGAATGGCCTCCTTGCTGCGATGTCCAACTTTCAGCATCCAGAAGGTTCACACAGTTTGGGAACCACCGCTGAGATGCATATACTGTTTAGTTTTCAGGTGACTGCCTGCTTCATTCCACTTCCAGATCAGGAATTGAAATGTGTTAGTGGATGGATTTACATCAAACTATAAACTCCAAAGCCACGAGTCTCACTGAACTCAGTGCCTATAAATAACTGCTTGCAAATGTGTGTGGGATGTTTTAGTTTGCACCTTTGGAGTAAAACTCAAAGTTACTGTAGCTTAAAATTGTAAGAGTCTCCCAAACACCTTTCCTGTTTATTCCTAATGGTGTTCTCAGGTTTGGGGTTTAAGGGTTTACAGAGGGAAAGTGTCTGCTCTTTTAACAATACCCTAAAGGACTAATGACCTTTTCCAAGGCAGCAAGGGATGAGGAGGAAGAGGCAGCGATGGGAGCCAAGTGCAGGTCCCCCACTTGTGGTGCCAGCTACTGGAGTGAGTGGGGCCAAGCATCAGCTACTAGAGCGAGCTGGGGCCTTCTGCCCCCAGCCCCTGGAGTGGGAGCAGTGTGTGCTCCCAAACCAGCTGCTGGGGGGACTGACGTGACTGAAGTGAGCATGGGCTCCACACTGGCAGCCAGAATGGGGCCACAGGCCACAACCCATGTGCCTGGTGCCAGCTGCTGGCCATGCAAATGTCCATATCTTCCCCAAGATGGTGCGCATATATTTTCTAGCAAATCCTAAGCTGGACCAGCTGGTGAATAGCAGGGCATTGGGTCCAGGCTGGGGTATTTGGTGGGCAGGGGGGTCCATGCTGTACATCTGGTGGATGTGTGAATGTGGTGTGCATGAGGGACAAGTGTGAGTGCTGGTGCTGGTGCTGTATGTGTGCAGCAAACTTCAGGCCGGACCAGCTGGGGAGGAGGAGATCTGGGAGGTGGGTAAGGGGACCAGCATCCAGGTAGGGTTTCTGGGCTGACAGAGGGGCTGTGCTGGTGCTTGAGGAATCTGTGAATGTGCTGGAGAAGCTGGAGAACACTGTGTGTGCCTGCACCAGTGAACTTCAGTCCCTACCAGCCAGAGAGCAGGAAGGGGTCTCGGCTGTCTGTGTTTTATGTGAGCCCTGTGTGTAAGTGCTCTCAAAGGTTGCCCTGGTCAAGTCAGTGGCCAGTTGTGTCAGTGACCTTTTTCTCTCTGTGTGTCTGTGTGTCTCTGGGATACGTGCTCAGCTTGGCTACCACCTGAACCTACAAGGGGAATGTAGCAGCCACATCCCCCGACGTGGGCAGAGACCCCAGGGCACCCGGCTGGGCCGCAGCGCCCAACAGGGGTGATGCTGGGCAGCAGTGGCTGGAGGAGGTGGCCATGCTCTTACCACCTCACCTAACATGAGGCATTGAGTTTTGGATAGATTGAATTTTCTGAGTAAAAATAGCTGAAAATTTTAACTTTCAAAGATTTGTATTCCCACTGGATCTTACCTCAAATCGAGAGAATTTGGATTCCAATCTTTCTGATCTCTGAAAGTTTAAATATTTTCTTCTGGTAGTGCAGGTCATATGGAACCATGAAATTGCTTTCAACAAGCTTGTCTTTGTTATTTATCCTTTTCTTTGGACTTTTCAGTAACTCCTGGAATCTTAGAAGGCCACAGAGTATTTAAACATCAGGACTCAGTAACTTCTGAAGGGCCTAGATTTCCAAATCTGCATTTTGTTGATTCTTTGTTCTGTAGAGCAAAATCTTCTAACATTGTACCAGGCTCTTGAAGTCTAAAACATGGTTCCACCATTTCCATTTCTATGCTGCAGGATTTTAATGTGAACAACACCAAAGGTTGCCATGGGCAGAATCAGAAGTTTAAAAAAAAAATCACAAAGAATGACTCAAAAGCATTCCAAATAATGAAAATTTCTTACTGACTGAGATATATTACACTTCCCAGGCTACAAAGAAAAATATGTATTCGGGATTTGTATTCAAAAGCCAGCTCTTATAAAAAGGTCATTTCTCATGAAGTACTAAGAAGTTGAACTAATTCACCTTTGTAGCCGTGGAGCTGACTCTCCCTCTGGTCATGATTTGTTTGGTTTGGCAGGATACATCTGCAGAACCACAGACCACAGGTTGTTGTAACCCTGTTAATGCCAAGGAGCAGGGTAACTTTGTAATGTAAAACCTGAACCCATGACATAGGCATTAAAGGAATTTTCTTCTTTTTTACTGTGTTCTGGTAGGTTGCATTTATTAGAAATTTGCAGAAACGTCTTTACCCCAAAGTGCTGCTAAAGCTCCCTGCAGCTGGTGTAATGAAGACGATATATTCTGGGAGGCATCTTGATTTGAGAGTGACAGCTCCATATATCTGTGAAAATGAAGTGGCAGCAGAGTTGCCAGTAAAGCATATTGTGTCTTTGTGATGCAGAAATATATCATGTTAATAACAATAATTTTCACAGTTACATGTGACCATTTGCACACAGGGAAGCGCTGCTGTTGGGAGAGGTCCTAAGAAGCGAGGAAAAAACTAACTGGGTTTGTTTTCTTGCTTCCTAAACAGCCAAAGGGAAGGAAGAGCATACCCGGGGAGCTGGCACAGCAGCAAAGTGACACCCTCCTCCCATGGCGCCAGCATCAGAGCGCTAATGGCCTCCGGCGGCAAAAGCGAGATTGGGTCATCCCACCGATCAACGTGCCAGAAAATTCGAGAGGCCCCTTTCCGCAGCAGCTGGTTCGGGTAAGGCAAAATAAGAGATGGAAAAAATGGTAATTTTGCCATGGGTCTAGTGAAGTCATAGGTGCAGTCCAAGCTCGTGGCATGGGAAGGCTGATTTGAAGTAGGGGCTCTCTGTTCTTCCTTCCTTGCGCAGGAAAAGTTGCCTTTTGCACACTGCTGAAGCACTGCTTTTCTGAAGTGAATTGTCCCAGTTTTCCCTCCCCCAGCTGAACAGCAGCCTAATCGCCTCCTTCCAGCCAGTCCCCCAGGAGACGCCGGCATTGATGCCAAGATGGCACTTTGCCCGCGCTCTCATCCAGAAAACGGCTGCAGGTGTAAAGCTGGGCTTGGTGACACCCAGCACTGAGGGGGTGCTGCATCCTTCCCTTCCTGCACCGAGTCGCAGTGCAGATGCGTGGCGGGGCTCAAGGAGTTTGGCTGCCTGCCGCCGCAGATGGATCCCTCATCCTCTGCATGTTGCTGGTTTCTTTCTTTACAAGGATGATCACTGAGATCAAGTTTGCCCATGTGGTTTTCTGTGATGGTTTATTGGATGACAGGAAAAGAAAAAGAAGGGGAAAGAAGCCTTGACAGACACATTTGGTTGATATATTATTGCTATTGATAAGTGTTAGCAAAATACAATTACACATTGCTATTCCTCTTACGGGCGCTGGTTGTATTTTTTGGAGCAGTAGAAAGATTGACTGTAAGAAAAGAATTCTCTGGCAGGATGTTTCAGCTCTTCCCTTTGAAGAAAATGGTGACAATTATAAAATTTCAGAACTTATTTTGAGTGACAGTGGTGTGCAGTTGGCATCAGGAACTTCACCTAGTCGTCTTGAAACAGTGCCTGGATTCAAATGAGTTGTTATCATTATCCATTTCACATGAATTAGCTCAAACTGTTATGCACAACCAATGTCTGGGAGCAGCACACAAGGAGCTGGCTGAGTCTTTTAGAAGTCCAAGTGAACTTTGCAGTGACTCTTGTAATGACTGAAGGTACAGGTGCTCATTTCACTGAGTATTAGGTACACTTGAATTGTTGGTGACATTTCTTTGTGTAATTAGGGAGATGTTACAAGGAATAGTAATAACTGGAAAAAAAAAAAAAAAAAAGTACCAGGTGGCAAATGTTTTTGTGTGTGTCCTAGAAAAAGGAGTCTGCCAAGGAGTCACTGTATGTTCTTCAGTGCTGGGTGAGGAGTGACCTGCTAATGTTTTGGCCTAGCAAGTTGGAGAAATGTCTGAAGAGGAAGATTACTGAATGTGTCAAAATATTTCCATAAATCAGATTAATAGTTTAGAATAATTCCTGAATTTCTGTGAAAAATAAGTGGGCTACTTGCAAAATGATCTTATGCCCTGGCCCACTCCCTGCTGATTTCTTTTGGGTTTGACTAGACAGCGAGGACAACTTGACACCACTGTGCCATGGAAAATTTATTGATTTATAAGGACTGAAATCTCTGTGGCAGTTTTTATTCTTACAGTCTGGAGATAAAACATGAGGCCTCGGGAATACAATACACCAGTATTAATGGAAGTGGCAAATGTTAAATTTTATATAGGTACAGGAGAATTTATATTCATCACTTATACTACTGGTAACCTTGGAAAGGTAACCTTGGAAAGACAACCTCACTGTTGGAAACACTGGGCTCCCAGATTGTCAAGAAAATACATTCCATTGTGGTTTTTAAATACAGATGCTAAAGAAAATACTGAAAAAATAAAAATAAAAAATAGGGTAGGAAAGTGAGAATTTTTTTTATAAAGTGCTGCTTTCCTTTTCTCCTGACATGCAGAAAGTATTGTAATGACAGGGAATATCATAGTTTTGTATAAATGGTGTAACTTGATTAAGCATGAGAACCCCTGATGTTTCGGGCTTGGGTCAAGTTTCTGCTCATCTGCAGCAACTGGCCTACTTGCTGGCCCCTGAATATGAAGCTTGGGTGATTCCTAGCAGGAGTTACAGCTTTCTCTGTTAGGCTTTGCTCTTTAATTATCCAGAACAGGACAAATCGACATCTTCAAAGACCAGCACTATCTGGTTATTTCCATCCACATAATCTTCAGATTGCCCTGGAGCATTCTGCTGTCTCCTAGATCTAGGTAACAGTTTTGATCTGATTTCCCATGCTTTTGCTCACTGGGCGCTGAATATTTTTGTGTCCATCTGCTCACAAACTGGAGCTAGAAGTGCACATGTGAAGTTACAGCACAAATCTCATTTGTATGGAAAGAAGTCTGTCACAGTTTTCTCTGCTAGTTTTTATAAAGTGTTCAAACTTAATGCCAGTTCCTGGGCACTGGACTTTTTGTGCTCCAGAGAGCCCTGCTTGTATTTCCATTTTAGAGGTATAACTAATGGAAACCAGTCCTTCCATTATCATATCTTTGGTTCTGCTTACATGGAAGGAAAGGAAGGGATGGCATGAAAAATCTGAATACTAAAAAAAAAAAAAAAAAAAAGGCCTACCAGAGGTACATTTTCATTGTACCACTTGCTGGTTGCGTTTTTATAGGTCAGACTAATTTGAAATGCATAGGCAAATCTTTTTGGTTCCCTCCCACTCCTGCTTCCTATTGTGAAGGTAAAAATTCCATTTTATGGAAGTTGATTAGTTACTTGTCAGTATTTTTAGCAAGGCTGTGCCTGAATGAAGTTTAAATTATAGCAAAGGTGAACGTAGCTTGATGGGAGTCACACACCTCAAAATGCAGCCCTATCTGGTTCAGCTGGGATCAACTGTAATTCTGTGCTCATTAAAGCATTTCATTCTGATAAAATACGTTAAATGAAAAACTTTTAAAAAAATGAAAAAAGGAAGAAGTCACAACATTATTCCTGCCAAAAAAACCCTCTGTTAATTACAGGGTTTTTTCTTTCAAAGGAACATCCGTGTCTGTTCATATGCATCAACCACACTAACTAGAAAATGTGTTTAAGAAAAACAGTATGTAAAAAAAGTAGGAATTTCTGATGAGTTTCAGTGGCTGAAAAAAATCTACCTATAAATACAAATACAAGACCAATTCTTCGGAGATTGTAAATAAACATCTTATGTATAAGGTATAATTTTTTTATTGGTATCAGTGTTTTTCAAATTTTGGTTTTCTGTTCAAGCTGAAGAAAGTTATTAAATTTTATCGGTATATGCATATTTATTTTGCAAACATTTATGAAATTCTTGGTTTTAATTTCCTTGTGCTTCATTTCCACCTTTGTATTAGGAATAATATTTTACACGCTGTGAAATATTTTACTGTAGTGAGGATAATTTCATCACTAATTGTCAGGTACTCTCATTATTAAAACTATGAGGTCCATAAAAAAGCCTATTAAAAATACAAAAACAATATGAAATCCCTATCCTTCCCCAAGCAAATGACTCATGCAGGCACACTGATCAACCAAGATAGCATATTAAATAGTTGCTTCTTTGCAGAGTACCCTCTAGTTTCTCACTGATTCATGCTTTTTAGCTACATGCGTAGCTAATTCTTAATTATCTATTATCTAATCATCTATTAGCTTATCCTGTATTTCATCTTTTTTTTAACTTCAAAAAGTTACCTCAGTTTTGGGTCCAGTCTCTGATTTCCATCAGTCTCTGATGGAAATATTCTGATGGTTTTAGATGCTGAAGTCTTAGCCAGTCTCACTGGGCTGTATGAAAAACATTCATTTAAAAGACAGCAGCTTTTAGTGGTGGCAAGCTTAGATAACAGGCTCTTGTATCAACCACTGCAACTGTATACACCCTTAGGAATGCTCCAAACTTCCAGCTTCATCTCTAGGTTCTTTCTAGAGCTCTTATGAGCTGCCTGTCTCCATCTTGATCTGCAGTGACCCTAATTTTCCCAACTTGCCTGTGTCAAATCTGGAACTGAAACAGGTGAATTTTGCCTGTGAGATCTCTTACAATAAACAACTTGTTTGTTCTCATTACGCTGGCAAGAAAATCCATTGCGGATGACCAAGACGGGATCTCAGTGCCCTTACAAACTGCCTTGATTGCGTGCTACAGGCACAGCATGCTCCCTCATATCTGAACGCTGGTAATCTCAGACACAAGAATACTATAAATAATCTAATGTGTATAACAGGGAATAAGAGGGAAGGATGCATTTTATGTAAATTTAATCAGAAAGTCCTGAAGTGGTTTGGAAAGTTGGCAGAATATAATATACCTGAAGACTCTCGCCTTGCTTCTTAGCAGAGTTGCAATTGATTGGTTGGGTTTCATGCAGCATGATGCATGTTAATGGAGCAGAGAGCTCTTTTCAGCATGCTGGAGAACCCCAAGGTTTTTGTGGATGGGTTTAGCACACGTTAAGCTATATGGTGAAATCAGATATTTAATATGAAAAGACTTGATAACAGAGTCTTGAGCTCTGCAGACTATTTGGGTGCTGTAGCCTGTCCTAATTCAATACATAGTTGTAGTGAGACAGTTCTCCAAAAGTCTAAAATCCCACTGCTGGACGTGCATGTAAGGTATACTGAGAAAATCCCCACTGTCATGGACTGTCAGCCCTCAATACTGCCATTTCCCTTGCTCATCCACAGGTATTTCAGCAAGCACCTTTGTGCTGTTTTTAAATAGTTTTATTGTAGGAAATCCCTCATGCCTCCTCTATCAATGACGTTGCTTACTGCTGTGAAATTGGCAGTTCAGAATCCATTAACTCCCAGCTGCAAGACAGATGGCATCTGTCTGTGGTGAGAGAAGGTTTGTTGAGAAAAGGCCTCGCAAATGCTTCCCCAAGGATGTCAGACCTCACTTCTCCTGAGAGAGACACAGACAGCCTTGATTACAAATAGGCCTAGATCTTCCTTATTCTTTGTGGGAACAGGTGTTTCTTTTGCCTTATTAGCCACAAACAACAACAACAAAAAAATATGATTCTGGCTCTCAGTACATGTCATCTTTGGTACCACTATGAGCATTATCGGCCAAAATTTGAAAATTAGGTGCTTTGGTCTCTATTGCGGCAGCCAGAGAGAG